AACTCCAGTGTGATTGTCCATTTCCGTCTTCACTTCATCCACCAAGCTTCCCAACCTTTGAGCTCCAGCTTGGAGGAAGAGGCACTCACACGTGGGCTAACAGAAGCACTGAACAAACAGGGTATCCCTCTGGCTACCTATGGGACTATATCCTCAGCCTTTCTCACAAGTAAGTAACTCCCTTCCCCACTGAGAGACACAAAAGCAAGCTGACTTCCTGAGTGGGGCAATGTTGCCAAAGAAAACATTAACTAGAGCAAGGGCTGATATAAGACAAAGGTTACTGGTCATCTTCTCCAGCTTGATCAGTCTGCTCCTCCTTCCCTTATGTCAGTCACAGTCATGGCAAGAACTGCATATTACACAGGGGTACCCATTAGATAAACAGGACAAGAACCTGCCAAGCCCAGGCTTTCCTTATTCCCTGTGTTAGGAAGGAAAAATAGGACTCCTATGGGAGCTGCTTAAGCAGAGGAGCAGTAGACATGCAGAGCTTTAGCAGACTTTCCCCAACAGCAGAGCTTTTACTATGCAGCAAATAAGCCCTTGGTCAGAGTCAAGGCCCAGCCAGAGCCCAGCCAGTCTGCAGGAGAATGCTAAGTCTGTGATGCCACAGACTGCATCTCTCCACTTCTCTTCTCTCAATTTCGTTACAGGACCAAGCGAGGCATCACCATATGGAATTGAATTGAAATCAGGTATGTTAGAAGCCCCAAAGCCAGTCTACAGATTCATACAGCATTTGCCATAGAGTTTGCCCCTTCTTAGCTTATGTCCCTGTGCACAATGATGTTGCCTCTTCTTACCAGGCCCTGAGGTTCTTTTAGAGCTGAGGGAACTCAGGCCCAGGGCCTGTGACAGAGACTGAGATGATTGCAGTCCTTCACCCTGATCAAGGTCTGGGTTCTGATCTTTCCAAGAGTCTAGAAAAGACCTATCCCTGGTACAGCACCTGAAGCTCTAACAGGGACCATAGGAGATGGTAGAGAGAAAGGTCAATTTGTGCAATTATCATCAATGACAATGAAGAGTAGTAGCTGGATTGGAGTGTTGTACCTGTGATGGACCACAAAATATGCAAGGAGAAAAGGGATTTTTTTATGGTACCTTTTGTTGGATCAACTGATTAGTTGGGGGAAATCTTATATGAGCTTTTGGCAGAGTGCCCTTCCTCAGGGCAGTAGAGAAGTCATTGTACACAGTGGGTGCATCTACACAAGACACTTTATTGAGCAGTACACCAATCTACGGCACAGTCAGGCATCACCAGGTACCTGTGAGTAGCAGCTACTGGGACAGTAAATTAATCTACTGCGCACTTAGCTAGTACATGTGTAGACATGCTCCCGAGAAAGGCTTACTGTGCAGTATTTTACTGCACAATAAGCCTAATGCACATTAATAGCACATGTAGACACACCCAGTGATATGTTCTCTCCTTACTCCTTGAAGCCCTAATCATGAGGTGCCCTAAGCATCTACTTCATGACTTTCTCCTAACAGTGGCATTGATTTCTTTGCAAAGATAGTCTCTGGCTGTTTTGTATCCCCTCTAGCCCTCCACATATACATGCACACCTTGGCTAGAAGGCTCTAGAAGGCTATTGAATGTTCACAGGTAAAGTTAACCATCTCTTTCCTGTTCGTCTAGGCAGTTGCCCTGGAAATACATTTGCTTGTAAGAACAGCCAGTGTGTATGGAAAGAGAACCCAGAGTGTGATGGCCACGCTGACTGCTTGGATGCCTCTGATGAGGCAGACTGTGGTAGGTCCTCCTACTGTATACATCAGGCAATGGTTGGTTTTCTGGGCCCATGGTAACTGCAGTCATTTATGTGGTTATGTGAGGACCAAGTCAGGAATCCACAGAAAATCAGGGTGTCCAGTATATCCAGCACAGACAGTCTCTCTGGAAGATGTGGGTCCTGTTCAGTAGAGGCAACTAATCCTCTTTGTAAGAAATGACTTTGAAGAAGCTGAAGGATGAATAGTTCATATAGTCCATAGCCCATTAAAGCAGTGAGCATTACTGTTGCCCCCACACACTAAAGCAGAGGCTTAGTGGGACATGTGCAGCATCAGGCAGAGCCATGCCCTGATACTGTCTTTCATTGACAATATAGATGTCTCGAGTCCTCTTGTCCCTAACACAGAAGCCACCCATCACACTGGCACTGGGGACCTTTGCTGACAGTGTCAAAAGGAAGGTCCAAGAGTGAACACTTCTCTCAACCCAGAGGAACCTGTCTAGCAAGGCTAAGGCCCAGGAGAATGCAAAGTGAAGGGAAAGCTGGATCAGATTGGTTCTGTTCAATGGGTTGAAAAAGAAGTGCAACTCCATCTCTGTCCCTAGAGCTAACATTCACTATAACCATGACTCCACCCAACACACATGGCATCTGAAGCTAGGCAGCAAATCACAGCAAGTGAACTCACTGGAGTTAGTGTTAGAAACATACTGGGCCCATCTACATGCTCATTAATGCACTGTAATTACAGAGCATTTAGTTTAGTACTTCCTTAATGAAGTACTAACTGAATGCACAATAACTACATTTGCTGCCCAGCAGCACCAGCACATGGGGGGCTTTTCCTGTGGCAGTTACTGTGCAGTAGCTTATTAGCACAGGTTTTTACTGGCATGCTACTGTGCAGTGTTATTAGGTTACCGCACAGTAAATGTCTCATGTAGACGTGCCCACTGAGACACACCCACTAGTCAGTTTGAGAGGAGCTCATTTTCCAGCTGGTTACTTGGAGCAGCTTCGATGATGTTTAGCTTTTACAGGGTGCAGCTTCTATGACATCTTCCTATGCCCTGCCTGCACAAGAGTAACTTGTAGAATGGCTCCTAGTGAGAAAGCCTCTACTGATGAATCCCAAGCTGCAAGGCTAATCACAGCAACCCATTCTGTGGATGCTTCCTTAGCTAGCTGCCCCTTTCCATGAATACGCTCTGATTGTAGTCTGAAGCCTGCACCTTCCAATACAGTGTCAACAATGGCTTCACTCTCTGCGGCAGGCACAAGTATGCACCAAGCAAGGTAGACCTTTCCCCTGCCCCAGTGAACTCCGCTTGGGATATGTTTGAAGTGCTTGACCTGTTCTGGCCACACCGGAAGTAGCCTCCAGGGCTCACATGAGCTCTTTTCTACCTTTCAGACTGTGGGAGTCGACCCGCCATGCAGACAGCCAACAGGATTGTGGGAGGCTCCAAAGCCTCCAGAGGGGAGTTTCCATGGCAAGTCAGCCTGAGGGAAAACAACGAGCATTTCTGTGGTGCAGCCATCCTCACTGAGAAGTGGCTGGTGTCTGCTGCTCACTGCTTTAATGAGTAAGCCCCCACCACTAGCAAGTGAATTTGACCCCACTTCCAACTAGCAGAAAAACTGGTGTTGTATCTCAATATCCAGCCTCTCACCAAGCTAAAACAGACTGTGGGCCCATCTCAGTTGATCATCTGTTTACCGCCATTCCAGACTAGACCACTGGGAAGGTGGATCCACACCCCAAGCCCAGCTATTCCAAGCCCATATGTATGCTCTGGCCCATGCTGGCATTGTGGTGATCTGCAGTGCCATGAACACAGGGCACTGTAACACAGCAGTTACTGTATCATGAGGGGTTTCAAGGGTCATGTGCCAGTTCCAGTTCAAGGCACAACAGCTGCTGCTGTTTAAATGTCTTCCTTTTGACATGAGCAGGCCATCAAGGGGCAACGTGGGAGGAGAGTTCATGCACAACCCTGCTGTATGCATTTCAGGTTTCAGGACCCAAAGGTCTGGGCTGCCTATGCAGGAACCACCTCTCTCAGTGGCATCGACCCCAGCACTGTGAAAGCTGGCATTGCACAGATAATCACACACCCTTCTTATAATGCGGATACTGCTGATTTTGACGTGGCTGTGCTGGAGCTTGCAAGTCCTATGGCCTTTAACAAGTACATCCAGCCCGTGTGCCTACCAGGAGCTGGGCACCACTTCCCTGCTGGCAAGAAATGTCTCATCTCTGGCTGGGGCTACCTTAAGGAAGACTTTTGTAAGCAGTGCTCTCTCAGGATGGTGTGCATGGGGCACCTCGGAAAGGCTAGTGGATGAAGTGGGAGGGTACCTGGAGAACTGTGAGAAGACAGGAAATTGGGAAACATGGAGAAGGAAAGGAAGGTAGCACACCCATAGAAGTTGTGGAGGGGAGCAACCACAAAAGAGCAACTGAAGGGTTTGGGGTGGGGGGAGGCTGGGGGAAGGTGCATGCTATACTGAGCTGTAGGTCAAGTGCTGAAGTTGAGCTGACCTGCCAAGAGCAGCCAAGTAGTGCATGAGCCTTTGGCCTGAAGAGCGGGAACAGTTTATTTCCTTGTCTCTCTCCACTAGTGGTAAAACCAGAGACCTTGCAGAAGGCGACAGTGGAGCTGCTGGACCAGGTGTTGTGCTCTAGCCTGTATAGCTATGCCCTCACTGACAGGATGGTGTGCGCTGGCTACTTGGAGGGGAAAATTGATTCATGCCAGGTAAGAGAAGACCTCTCCTAGTACCAGTTGCATATTCATGTTTATAAAAAAATAAATCCACTTGCTGCTAAAACAGACACAGTACTGTGCCTGGGCAGCTAAAGACTCTGGTTTCTATGACACCATGGATACATCACCTCTTACCAGTGTGAGGTCCACAAAGCTGTCAGCTCCCTCCACAGCCACACAGGATGGATGACTGGTGAGAGCTTACATCTGTAAAAAAACAAAGAAGTGGAAGGAAGGGGTTTGTCATCTAGTGGTTTGAGAACAGCACTAGGAGCCAGGACTCCTGAATTATGTTCCTGGGTCTTCAACTAATTAACTCTGTTTCCTAGAATAAAGTCCATTAACTTATTTTATTTTTGCTTAAATTTGCCCACATGTAGAATTAAGGTACTGTTATAGACCTACCTTGGTGGCAGAGGGGCAGGTTGTCAAGTTTGTGAATGGTCTAGAGGCCTTCCGCAGGCAATGCTAGTTGAGGATGACATTATCTGTTCCAGTGGGGGTCAACCTTTTTGACAAGAATGCCAAAAGTTAAGTCCAAAGCATGAGATAATGCCACTCTAATAATCAACCACTCCCACCACTCAGTGCTGCTGAATCCCATTGCCACCGGGACATGACAATGCTGAATTTGGTGGCAACTACCCCCAACAGGGACAAACCCTTGAGCCAGCACTGACCCCCAGTTCCCACCCCCTCCTCTGATCCCCGCGTCCTTCCTGACTGCCACTCCAATCCCCTTCCCCTCCCGAATGTCGCTCTGATCTCTGCCCCTCCCCGATCTGCTGCATGCCAAATCCACTGGATGCCTGTGCCACTTGTGGACTGTATTCCACAGGTTGGCCACCACTGATTTATTCTATATACCTAATATAAAGAGAAGCTTCCAGGCTCTTTGGCTTCTACCCACCCTGAATATACAAATGCCCAGACTGGCAAAGTCCAGCTACTTGTAAATATTCATGTTTATAAAAAAACAATTCCACTGGCTGCTGAAGCACTGGAAAGCAAAACAAAGATGCTGTGTCCTGCAGCATCTGACACTCTTTTTTGCTCTTCCTTTCCCTGAAGCTGTGCTGGCATCTAAGGCACTCTTTGTACTTGAAGAAAGAAGCAGCCAGGAAATTCTAATTGCTAACACTGGTAGAACCTTTGGAAGGGAGGAAATATTATCATATACCAGGCGGAAAAGAAAAGAAAGAGAGAACCAGCTAGGAAACCAGCAGACTTAAAGCATGGAAAACTGTAAAAGAAAAAATACTCTTCTGTGGGTGCATCTACATGTGCCCCTATGGCACCGTTGTTACTGCACCATCATTTAGTACTTCCTCTGGCAGCGCATGGTTGTTTTTAGCTGCTACATCACTGTAAGGACACATTATAATGAGGGAGCATGTCACTGCAGTGACCTAGCTGTGGCAGCATGGTTTGTACCTGCCAATGCTATGCTGCCATAGTGCATTGCTACGGTGACACAGGATCTCTTGTAGATGTGCCCAGTTATTTAGGAATCCCCTTGGGTTAAGCAGGGCCAGCTTCATGACGAATGCTGCATAGGTCCTCCTACAATACTATCCCACTAACAAACCACAAAGAGTCCAGCCCTGGTGGCTAGAGAAAATAAAAAGAGCTGTCCATTCTGTCAAGCATTTAGGATTTTAATACCCCCGCAGAATTTCAAAGTGCTTGTATGTGCAGTGCAATAAAAAATGAACACCAAATAGCAGTCAAGTGAGCACCATGCCCAGTGTTGAACATCTAAGTGAATCTATGAGTGGAGGGTCAATTTAGTTGATCACAAGGTTGTTGGGAGTGGGAGCTCATTGTCCCAGATCACTGAAATGGTATCTTCACCCTTGGTGTACAGCAAGGTCTTAGATTTGATAGCTCCTGTTTGATAACGTGGTAGTTTGGCTACTCCTCAAGCAAGCGCCTCCTCTACTTACACATCCAGACAGAACCCTGAAAATATCTTAGGTGATCCTTTGCCCACAACTGAAATGTTTCAGCCATCTCTGAGATAGGACACATCAGCTCTATAACAGCATTCAGCAACACTGCACAGCAGTTTAGGACAGAGATTAAAATCTAATAAGAGGGGGGAAATGATGGCTGCTTTCCTGAGTTCAGACATGGGACTTCTGTCACACCCTGGCTCATGGAAGTGCTGTGGGTGCCTTAGTCTGGACTCTTTCTTGCAGGGTGACTCTGGTGGCCCCCTGGTTTGTGAAGAACCATCTGGCAAGTTTTTCCTAGCAGGCATCGTGAGCTGGGGAATCGGCTGTGCTGAAGCCAGGCGACCAGGAGTTTATGCCCGAGTGACAAAGCTCAGAGACTGGATCCTTGATGCTGTCTCTGCCTCCCCTGCCTTCACAGCACTCACCCTCCCAGAAACACCTTCTAGCACAAACAGCAGTTCTGCCACCACTGAAGGGATCAGCAACAGCATCACCAGCACTCCTAGAGCTATCTCCACTATCTCCTCAACCCCAGCCACCAGCAAGTCAGCTACCACTGCCAGGCCTCAAGGTATTGTGCCCCTACAATGGTCAATCTCTCTGACTAGTTTCAATGGTCAAGACAGGCATGATTTTTTAGGGATCTGTTCCTCAATGAACTGAAATAGCCCTTTTCTATTTGGTGCAGTAGAAAATGTCAGGCTGGCTCATCTGACCCTCAGATATGCAATGCAGTCTTAGTTTGGTGGAAACCATGATCTCTGTAGTCTCTGAGCTGCATGCACAAAGCAGTCTGCCATAGCATCCTGGGGCTTTGGCCAGCCAGTTGCACATGCAGGGTCATTTGTGTCTGTATTTGGTCACTGCTTGACTTTAGAAACCACATTGGAAGCCACAAATGTATTGAAATCTTGCCAGCACCACTGGCAGTCCTTAGCACTTGAGAAACAGCCTGCCTGCTCCATGACTGCAGTAACATTGGGAGGGGCACTGTGCATCACTGTAGCTCTTCTGCATGTACCTGTCTGTCTTTATCACTGGAAGATCTGATGATTCAAAGCCAACTGCTGCACATGGGAGGGATTTGGTAGGCCTACAGAATCCAAGTGACTTCCACCTGGGCAAGAAAAGACAGATCTTTAAGATGGTTTTTCAGCCCATGTGGCATCTAGCTCCCAGAAGCCTTCCTGCTGCCTCTGATAAGGAAGGCAGACTCTGAGTGTTTCTCCAGGTGAGGGTGGTTAATGAAATAACTCCCAATACAAAATAATCAAGATGAGGGACCACTGGAACTGCAGGATCTTCTACCTCTATGACATATCCCAGCATGAAGCAGTAGCAAAAAAAATGACTTGCAGGATCTACTAAGGGCAGGCAGAGATGATGGGGATGGGGAGGAAGCCTGTTGATAGGATGAGGAAATTTGGCAGGCAGAAGCTTAGATAAATGCCCCTGAATTGGCCTTTAGCTGACCAGTACTGCTTTGCTGGGTCTCACTGGTGAGCAGGGCCCTAAACTAGCTGCTTGCTGACCCCAAAGCCAGACACACATGTTGACAAATTATGCTTTTCTTCCTGTTCAGAATGTGGTGGACGACCTGGTCTCTCTAAACCCAACAAGATTGTGGGAGGATTCAATGCTTCCAGAGGAGAGATCCCCTGGCAAGTCAGCCTGAAGGAAGGGTCGAGACATTTCTGTGGAGCCACCGTCGTTGGAGAGCGCTGGCTCCTGTCAGCAGCTCACTGTTTCAATCAGTAAGAGCCTGTCTCATTTGGGGTTGACTGAGAAAATGACATGTATGGTGCTTTTGTTCCTGTTTGCCCTGCTGTTGTCACACAGTCTGCTGGAGCCTGAAGTAGTCTGCAGTCATGCAGCACCACTGATTCGTAGCAAGTCACTTAGCTCTTGTTACTTGGTGGTAAAGGGGCAAAGTGATGTCATGGTTTGGAGACAAGAGCAGGAATTCATCACTAGCTTCATTGTGACACATGATTAACAGCAAGTGCTGCAAGGACCCATAATAGTTCCTTGAGTATTTTGTACATGTATTAATGATGTAAGAAAGGAGGGTTACCAGTGAGAGGGCTGGGTTTTTGGTTGTAGCCGTGTTGGTCTACGGACATAGGCAGGCAAGGTTCTTTGGGTAGATGTGATATCTTTTATTAGACCAACTGAGTAGTTGGAAACAAGTTCTTATCAAGCTTTCAGGTGCAGTCACCCTTCTTCGGGCATAGGAAGCCTCTGCTGGTCTGAGACTCCAAGGAATGAGAGAAGCTAAAAGTGTGGCAGGATGTCAGTGAGAATGATGCCAGTGAGAGGGCAAAATTTACAAATGATGCAAAAATCATTTAGATTAGTAACAACCAGAGAGGACCTCAAGAGACTTCAGAGAACTGTACCCAAGCTAGGTGAATGGGTAATGTAATGAAAGATGAAGTTCAATGTCAATAAATTAATGTACTTTGGAAAGGATTTTTTCTACACCTCCCAGGTTTTTTAATTAACTGTAGTTAAACTCTGGTGAGTTTAAACTGTGCTGCAGGTGGACCTGAGCTGATAAGTATCACAGTTCAGTATGCAGCTGTGATGGAAAAAAAGGACAAGGACATTAGGATGCATAAGGAATGGGACAGAGCAGCAACACCCAATCTTTCTGGGCTGTAGGCCAGATGAGTTGCATGGGGTTCGCCTGTGGGCCTGATCCAGAGAGGAGCTACTATGTGGGCTTAATCCGGCATGTGGATCCGGCCCTGCAGGCCACAGGACTTGGAAATTTGATGGCGAGGAGTGTTGGCAGAATTGCTTGCCACCACTCCCTCATTGCCAAATCTCTGGACCTGTGAAGAGCCCCATGGACCAGATGACTCAGCTCCACAGGCTAGATCTGGCCCATGGGCTGAAGGTTGAGAACTACTGGGATAAAAAATATTACAGAAAGATTCTAATGCCATTATATAGGCACTGTGTGCAGGGCTGGCCACCCCCATTTAAAAAGGATACTGCACAATTAGAGGGAGTGCAGGGAAAGACAACAAAAAGGATTTGGAGCCCAGGAAAACTCTCCAGTTAACAGAGATTGAAGCAACCAAGACTGTTTTCCTTAAATAGGAGACAGTAAGAGACACAAAAGTATATAAAATGATGGCTAGCCTGGAAAAATCAGTTTGAGATCTTCAAGGGGAGAGTTGTGAAACTGTTAGATATGAATTAAAATAGGTACAGTGAAAAGAAATACCTTTTCCTGTCACACCCAGTTAGACTGTGGAACTCATTGCCACAGGTTGTCTTTGCAGGAAATTCTGTAAGACTCAATGACAGACTGGGCATTTTATACAGATACCAAGACTATACAGTTATAACAGTCAGTACAAACAAGGAGCCTCAGAAGGCAGATGAAGATTATACTTCAGAGTTTAAACTAAACTAATCTTCACTGGGAATACAAACAAAACCTTTTTTAGGGTCAAGCTACTGCCCATTTGCTTCTTCAGAGTTTATGCACCTTCCTTGGAAGGTGATGTTTGCTTATGTATTTGATTTACATGCCACCCTTCCCAACAAGGCTCAGGATGGCTCACAGTAAGAGACAGAATAAGTAAATGGAATAAAAACATGAACACGGCTCAGGAAAACACACAAAGGTATTACAACTGTTCTGGGAAATGTCCAGGCTCAAGCTCTGGTGGGCCTCAAAGGGGAGGGAGTCCCAAAGCTTAGGAGCAACTACTGAGAATGAACTTGCATGTGTTTTCACCAAGTGAATGTGGTGCACTGACAGGACTATTAGGAGATTGCTTTCAGCTGCCCTCAGGGACTGCGATAGAGTGTAAGGGAGAAGCTGGTTTCTTAGGTATTCAGGGCCAGACAAGTTAGGGCTTTATAGATCAAAATGAGTACCTTGAATTATACCCAGAAAGCAACCGGGAGCCAGTGCAGACTCTAGAGAACTAGAGTTATGTGCTCCTGGAGACCCACCGCCATCAGAAAGCGAGCAACTGCATTCTTTACCAGATGTGGCTTCCAGGTGGTCATCAAGGGCAGTCCCATATACAGTACAGTGCAGTAGTCTAGCCTCAAGGTTACAAAAGCATAGGTGATTTTGGCAAGATCCAAGACTGAACAAAATTATGACCTACTGAGGTCCCTTCTGACCCTAACATCTATGAAAAACTGCAGCGTTCTCACCAGATGGAGTCGGTGAAAGGCACTCCTAGCCAATGCCACTCTCGAAGATCCAGGTGCAGCAGAGGAACCCGGAGTACTCAAAGTTGTGAAACTGTGTGACAGGGGAAGGCTGAACCCCATCAATTATAGGTGTCCTAATCCTCTCCAGGTCAAGCAGTCTGTCCACCTCCATCAACACTGTCAACTTTTTGGATTCAACTTCAATCACTTCACTCACATCCAGTTCTCTATTGCTGCCAGGCACTGGGAAGAGACCAAGATTATGAGGACTGGGTATCAACACACCTATAGCTTGGGAGGTACCATTCTAAGTAGCACAACTGCGGAAAGGGATCTCGGAGCTGTAGTCGACTGCAAAATGAACATGAGTTGCCAATATGAAGAAGTAATAAGTAAAGCTAACCACACCCTTTCTTGCATAAGTAAGTGCATCACAAACAGGTCCAGGGAGGTGATACTTCCCCTCTATGCGGCATTGGTCAGGCTGCAGCTGGAGTGCTGTGTCCAGTTTTTGGCACCACACTTCAGGAGGGATGTGGATAACCTGGAATGGGTTCAGAGAAGGGCCACCCATCTGGTTAAAGGCCTACAGGTAAAATCCTATGAGGACCGATTGAGGGACCTAAATCTCTTCAGCCTCCTCAAGAGAAGGCTGAGAGGTGATCTTGTAGCTGTCTACAAACTCACCGGGGAGGGGACAGCAAGAAATAAGGGATACAATGTTTACCAGGGCACCCCTCAGGGTAACTGGAAACAATGGCCACAAACTGATGGAGAGCAAATTCAGATTGGACATCAGGAAAAAAATTTTTACAGTGAGGGTTGCCAAAATATAGGATATGTTTCCAAGGGAGGTGGTGCTGTCCCTTTCCTTGGAGGTATTTAAGAGGAGATTGGACAAACACCTAGCTGGGGTCATCTGACTCCAGCACTCTTTCGTATATCATGATCTGGGAGAACGTCTGTTTGCCAGAGCACCACAAGGAAAAACAAGGACCAACGGTCATAAACTCCTCCAAGACCATTTCAGGCTGGACATAAGGAAAAATTTCTTTACTGTCCAAGCCCCCAAGACCTGGAATTGATTGCCTCCAGAAGTGGTGCAGGCACCTACTCTGGACTCATTCAAGAAGCGTTTGGATGCTTATTTTGCTGGGATCCTTTGATCCTAGCCATCTTCCTGCCCCTGGGGCAGGGGCTGGATTTGATGATCTTCGAGGTCCCTTCCAGCCCTAACGTCTATGAAATCTATAAGATGAAAATAAGAAATAGAGCTGGAGATCATCAGCGTACTGATGGCATCTCACTCCAGACCTCTGTACAGTCTCGGCCAGTGGCCTCATATACACGTGGAACAGGAGGCACAACAAGGTGGAGCCGCTGGGGGATCCCACAGGAAACATCCTGAGGAGATGATAAGCACTTGCCCATTACTAGCCTCAGGGACCTGGGGCCAATTTAGAGCAGTCCTGCAAATACCCACCAAGTCACATAAATCAACTTCAGTCTGATACAGTTTAAGCAATGTTATCAAAGGCTGCTGAAAGATCAAGCAAGGTGAACAGGGCACAATTTATCCTGTCAATGTCCAAGGGAGCATCATCAACCCCAGCCAGGAGCACAGTCTCTGGGCTATGCCCAGGACAAAAGCCAGACTGACAAAGGTCCAGGAATGCAAGTGTAGCCAGGTGCACCTGGAGCTGTTGGGTGACCTCCCATTCAATGACCTTCCTTAAACTGTCTGGGCAATCCTGAGTGTAGGCTGGATTTTACAAACCAGAAAGGTCATGGTTCCAGGTTACAACTGGTCACCCACATCCCCCTGAGCACATCCTCTAAATCAGTGGGCAACAATAATTGAAACCAATCCATATAAACTGGGCAAAACTGAGTTTCACCAACCCTGAATTCTGACTCTGCACAAAAGTGGCAGCCCCCAAGCCATGCTGGATACAAGTGATTTTGTCTACAAAGTAGATGACAAATTCATTACAGTAGACTGCAGAAGACCTGGTTTCTGGGTGGAGGCAACCTGCATTAACCAGGACATACACCTCCTGGAACAGTTCCACCAGAAAGCACTTCGCAGATGCAATGGTGAGAAAAATCTCCTTTGACACCAGTGTTGCTACGCAATACTCCTTTAAGAAGAATCTATGCCACAGTTGGTTGGCAGAAGCATAAATAGCCAACACTGCATCCTGAGTGGCAACAGGATATGGTGCAGGAGTAGTAGTGAGAGGTTTGCTGCTGCAGAGGAATATAATCTCCTTTTTTGCTGCTGACGTGTTTGTCAAGCAGTTATCTAAATACTGATTTTTAGTAGCAAGAAAAGGCTATGGCAGCTCCCTGCGGCAGCAGCAAACCTCAAGCAACTGCTCCACCCTCCCTGCTGCCAGAGCCAGAGTCACAGCAAGAAATGTGCAGGGTCTGGGGGCCTGTGTGGGGGATGGAGGAAAGGAAGGTGGCATGCCCCTCTGGGGCTTATGTTAGGCCTGCGCAAAGCCGCTAATATTCGCTTTGGATTTGGCTGATTCGGGGGACAGTGATTCGATTCGATGATTCGAAT